ACTTCCATTGCATGAGACAAATTTTGGGGGACATTTGGGACAGATTTCACCTAATCATCAGACAAAATTATGCTAAGATGTCCATTTTGACATTCATGCAAAGAATCTTATCACATAGAACCGCATTTTGTGCTATCTGCATGTGAAGCCGGATGGTCCGTGAAAATAAATTCTCTTGCTATATATTATCCAATTTTGTTGACTTTATAATAATTCTTAACAGTAACTCCCTACTTTGGTTATACAATACAAAAAATAATTTTTTATTTTAATTTACTATTATGAAATCATCACTTAATTAAATAATCTAATCACCACCAAGAAAAATCTTTGCACACGAATACGATATGAAAACAATGGTTATTCTTGCATGTTAATATTTGATGTTTTGTCACATTTTTAAGTAAAAAAATTGTTTTAAAAGATTTTAAAATTTTTATTTTTACACATTTATAAAGTGACGTATTATGAGTAAGTAATAAGATATAAATATTATATATTGACAGTTTATTAAATATAAAATTTATTATTGTTCAAGCAATTTTTGGGTAAATTCAGGGTTGACAAAGATGCTGATGGAAGGATCACTGAAGAAGAAGTGAAAGAGGTGAGTAAGAGCCAGAGAAAAGTACTACTGAGATGATAAGTAGTTTAAGCTGCTATTATCTACAAAAAAATATATTTACAACTGTTTCAACAAAATATTGTGCAGATTATTGCATTGAGTGCTGGTGCTAACAAGCTGTCAAAAATCCAAGAATCTGCTGAGGAATATGCAGCCCTGATCATGGAAGAACTGGACAAAGACAACCTTGGCTACATTGAGGTCAGCACCATGACTTTGATTGAATGAACTAACTCTTAATCAACCTTAGCCCAACCCCATTTCAGGGCCAATCAAACAGGCTCTCACCCTAATTTCACCACAGATTTTTGACCCAATTCCCTGTTGGTTGTTTTTTCCTTTTTGTCAGATATACAATTTGGAAACACTGCTTCTCCAAGCACCAAGCCAGTCAACCAACCTAGTGACAGACAGCCGCGTTCTGAGCAGGCTGTTGAGTGAAAAATTGGTGCCAACAAAAGAGAGAAACCCCATCAAAAGATGGGGCAGGGGTCTTGCCTACTTCCTGGAGGACAATTGGCAAAGGATATGGGTCCTGGCCCTGTGGATCTCAATCTGTGCAGGCCTGTTCACCTGGAAATTCATCCAATACAAACATCGGGCTGTGTTTGATGTGATGGGCTACTGTGTTACCACAGCCAAAGGTGCAGCTGAGACAACTAAATTCAACATGGCCCTGATCCTCCTTCCGGTGTGTAGGAATACCATTACTTGGCTTAGAAGCAGGACCAAGTTAGGGGCGGTTGTCCCATTTGATGACAACATCAATTTTCACAAGGTATGGTAAATAATAATCCAGAATTAAGGTCTAATTATCTTACTTTTATCGGATAATAAATCATAATAAAGGATGTATGTATAGAAGAAATTAATACTTTCTTGCATTTGGACTAAATTTCTGTAGGTGGTTGCTTTGGGGATTGCTATTGGAGTTGGCCTGCATGCTGGTGCTCATCTTACATGCGACTTCCCTAGACTTCTCCATGCCACTGATGAAGAATATGAGCCAATGGAGCCATTCTTCGGGGAAGAACGGCCTAACAACTACTGGTGGTTCGTGAAAGGCACCGAAGGCTGGACCGGTGTAGCCATGGTGGTGCTCATGGCCATAGCCTACATACTAGCTCAGCCCTGGTTCCGCCGCAACCGGGTAAACCTCCCCAAACACATAAAGAAGCTCACCGGATTCAATGCCTTCTGGTACTCACATCATCTGTTTGTTATTGTCTATGCCCTCTTCATTGTTCATGGATACTTTCTCTACCTCTCCAAGAAATGGTACAAAAAGACAGTAAGTGTCTCAAAAACTAGCTAGTGCAAAACAACATTTTCACTCTATGCTGACATTTTCCAGAGTATTTTAATTTGTTTTCTGCTATTTGCTTGCAGACATGGATGTATCTAGCAGTTCCAATGCTGCTATACGCATGTGAACGCCTGCTTCGCGCATTCAGGTCTGGCTATAAGTCAGTGAAGATCTTGAAGGTACATTACGAACCCCACCTAAACTTCAAATTTATCAAGTTTACTGGTAGGAAAAGATAACAGTTTTAAGCTCGGGTAAGGGTAATACTTGTTTCTGTTCATAATTCAGGTTGCTGTGTACCCTGGAAATGTACTCTCCCTGCATATGTCTAAGCCTCAAGGATTTAAGTACACCAGTGGCCAATACATCTTTGTGAACTGTGCAGCAGTCTCCCCATTCCAGTGGTAAGAAAACAGGATCAAATAATCACGTAATGTTTCCTTATTTCAACAGTTTTGATGACAGGGAAACTGATAGAACATCGATGGTTTTTTATTCTTCAGGCATCCCTTCTCCATCACTTCATCCCCGGCAGATGACTATTTGAGTATTCACATCCGCACCTTAGGGGACTGGACATCCCAGCTCAAGGCCCTTTTTGTAAAGGTGATTGTTCTTCCTCAAAACTTGTAGATTTCTGCAACAAAAATGTCTCCTTTTTATGCTTTAAACGTTTTGGTTTGCAGGTTTGTCAGCCTCCATCAGTTAATCAAAGTGGCCTCCTGAGAGCAGATATTGGAAAAGGAGAAAACAAGCCTAGGTAACTCTTTTTGCTTTTTCTCCTCCAATATGCTGTTTTTCCATCTTTTTCCAATCATTATCTCAACTCCCAACATGGAATTCAATCTTCAAACAGGTTGCCTAAACTCTTGATCGATGGTCCCTATGGAGCTCCAGCACAGGACTATAAAAAATATGATGTGCTTCTCCTAGTAGGACTTGGCATTGGTGCCACCCCATTGATCAGCATAGTCAAAGACGTGCTGAACAACATCAAGCAACAGAAGGAAATGGAGGAAGGGATAGAGAATGGAGTTAAGAACAACAAGAAGAAGCCCTTCGCCACCAAACGAGCTTATTTCTACTGGGTCACTCGCGAGCAAGGCTCGTTCGAGTGGTTCAGAGGGGTGATGAACGAGGTGGCTGAGTATGACCGGGATAGGGTGATCGAGCTCCATAATTACTGCACCAGTGTGTTCGAAGAAGGGGATGCTAGATCAGCTTTGATCACCATGCTTCAGTCCCTCCACCATGCCAAGAGTGGGGTTGACATTGTCTCAGGAACCCGCGTGAAGACACATTTTGCCAGGCCGAATTGGCACAAGGTTTTCAAGCATGTTGCTGTTAACCACGCTGATCAAAGAGTTGGTATGTCCTTGCTTTCTACTAGCTTTATTCTTCATTTCAATAAGCCATAGACGCTTTAAAATCCTGCATTTCAATGGTATTTTCCTCAAGCCAAGTACACATGTCCCAAGTCATTATTATGGTATGCAATATCTACCACTATCATAAGGTTGAAATAGTTTATTTACATTTTTTATGCCTTTATTATCATTTTTTATATGAGAATCGTAAATCTGATATCAATTATGTATTAAAATAAAATTAAATATTTAAATATTTATATTATCTTTCATTTATAAAGCATCTTTTATAAGAAAAAATCGTAGAGGTCTAATAAGTTATATGGGATAAAACTTTACAAACTAAGCACAAGTATAATATCAAAAGCTTACCTAATATTGAATTCTGTTTTGCAGGGGTATTTTACTGTGGAGCACCAGGATTAACAGGGGAGCTAAGGAGGCTAGCTCAAGACTTTTCAAGGAAAACCAGCACGAAATTTGATTTCCACAAAGAGAACTTTTAAAAATTTTTGCCTTTCCATTTTTTTATTTTTCCATAAAAAAAAATGTAATATAGTAGTATATAATTTATGTTTTAAAAGGGTATAGCTGTAATGTTGTTTTGAATATGATTTGGTTATCAATTTTATATTGGCAAAGCCTTTCCACTATTTATTTTTCCTTTTTATTTCCCCTTCCTTTCTGTCTTAAATCAAATCATAATGTCCTGTATTTTATATATATATATATAAAAGGAGACAGGCCCATAAATATCTTAATAAAGATTCATGGAGTATTACAACAAAGCTTTAAATCAATCCATCCCCTGGCAAAAAGGCAGGCCGAAGTTATTGGAGAAATAAGTTTGGACCACTGGTTTTGGGGCAATTAATAGAAAAGAGGGCAGCTTTATTCTCAAATGCTTCTTTGAGGAGCAACTTCTTATTGGAACCAAGTCAGCATTTCCATGTTATAATTACTTTGATGCTTCATGTTGATGGTTTCCTTTCTAAGGAGATAACTCAAGGGCAACTACTCCTTCATAAGTCTTCTTTGCCCATTGCATGGTGCTTTCCTATGGTTTTTTAATATTAGATTCATAATAACCCTTTTTTGGGTAATTTTCCCATTAATTTCATGAAATCTTTAAGCTTGATTTAAAGTTATAATATTCTTTTTTTTATGCAGAAGCAAAATATATTAATTTTGCAATGTAAAAAGATTACAAGAGAAATTAGGATTAAGGGTGAACATATTTTGATTTAAATCGAATAAATTTGATTAATTAATTTTATTTTTTTGATTTTGATATTAATCGATTAAGATGAATAGTTTAGAATCAAATCAATCCAATACCCACAGTGAGATGCCTTGGTGCATTAAAAGTTATTCTTTCGGTTCATGCATACAAGAAAATTGTTAGTGGTTTGGCACTACTAAGAAGGAAACTACCTGTGCAGAAAAGAGAGGAAAAGGAAGAAGAAAAAGCAGCCAAAAAAAATTCTGGTATAGGCCCAGCTAGCAAAAAAGAAGCATTTAAACAAAGAGCATCAAAGTGTTTAACTTGATAGGTGTCCACTGCAGAGAAAAAGCATAGCTTTCAAGAAAATTTACTCCTTTTTTTTTTTTAATGTAATAAGATCATTTTCTCAGCAGGTACTACTCTTTGCCAACCCACTTGGCACCAACTCCCAGGGCCCCTACTTGATTTTTTTTTCCTTCCTCTGTTTCTCTCTCTCTCTCTTAAGCCTTCACTTCTTAAGCATTTCCTCACAGTTTCTCTCTTCTCTCTCTCTCTCTCTCTCCTCCTCTCTTTTCTCAGAAGTATTTATACTTTCCTCATTGCCTTGTGTTGTGATTGTTGTTCTAATGGCAACTTCAGAAGGAAAAGCAGATAGTAAACAAGAAGCTAAGGCAGAAGCCAAAACTGAATCTAAAGAAGCAGAAGAAAACCAAGAACCTCCTCTTAAGTACAAGGTGAGAGCATGGTTCTTTCCCCTTTTTTTGTCAATTTTAACAGGATTTTTCTCAGACCCTTTTTTGGTTTACCCTTTATTTTCTGGTTTTTCTCAGGCTTGGGTGTTGAAAGTGTCCATTCATTGTGAAGCCTGCAAGAGGAAAGTTGAAAAGACTCTAAGAAAGATTGATGGTATACTTCCCTCAATCATCTCACTCCTTTAACATAGGACAAAATTTCATTAAAATTTTGGGTTTTCTGCTTCATAGTTTGTCTTCTTTTTCTTATACTGGTTTCCTTCTTGCTTTCCATGGAATCACTCTTTCCTTCCAAGTGACCATTATCACTATAGATTATTAAGCTCCAAATCTTGTTGTTTGTCAGGTTTTCTCATCTGGGTTTTGTTTTGATTTTTCAGTTAATCTCATTCCTTGATCAAAGTTTTCTCTTTTTTGTTTACCCAACATATTCTTTTTACGGTAAAATTTCTTTTCCATAATTTTTCTCCTTGTTCATCTCTCATTGTCACTCTAATTTCTCCTCACCTACCTACCAGAATTTATATATGAAAACAAAACTCAGTCTGCCTTGTTCATTTCTATCATTTCCTTTTTCATGTATGTATTTTTTGCTCTGCAATTTGCAGGCGTTTACGAGGCTATTGCTGATTTGAAGCAACAAAAAGCCACGGTGAAAGCCAAGTTGCACGTAGATGTAGAAACTTTGATCAAGAAACTAGTAAAGAAAGGGAGGCATGCAGAGTTATGGCCTGAAAAAACTGGACAAAAGGAGAAGAAGCAAGGAAAGTCGAAGAACAAGGACAAGCAAAGCGGCCAAGCAAACAGTGATCAAGAGGGTAATAGTAACCATGGAGGTGATAAAGAGAAAGAAGCAGTAAAAGCTGAATCCACTGTTCAACAGGACACTGCAAAAAGCTGTGAGAATGGTAGTACTTCGAAGAATGCTGAGGGTTGTAATAATGTTAGCAAAGCCCATGAAGGTGGTAGTGCACCATGTAAAACCGGTGGACAAGTTAAGGAGTTGAAACCTGATCAGGTCAAGCAAACTGTGACCCTTGTGGCCGGGAATCAGTCACCTGTGGCTGAGAAGAAAGGTGGAGTTGGTCGTGACAGTGAGTTTAATGCTGGTGAGCAGAGTGGTGGTGGTGGTGGCAGTGGAAGTAAAAAGAATAAAAAGAAGGTGCAAAAAGGGAATGCTAATGCTAATTTAGATGAGGGTGAACACTCTGGCGACGCTGGACCTGCATGCATTGGATCGCGTTTTTCTGTTTACGGACCTCATGGTCCCGTTCCCATGCCATCTGCAGCCAGTCACAGCCCTCCACGTCACCACCAAATGCACGAATACCCAACGTATTACCAGGCACCACCAGTGTATGTCACTAGCTACAATACAGCGTATCCAAGTAGTAGCTACAGTGCTTCTTATTACGCCTCACCACCACCGTATTCATATGCGTATATGCACCCGGGCCACATGAGTGAACGCCCATCAGATCCGGACACGTATCCATCCTATTCATCACGGCCGTCCGATTCCTTCGAGATGTTTAGCGACGAAAACCCGAACGCATGTTCAATCATGTGATGTATTTTACGGCATTATATGGATACGGAATTTATACTACTTGTATAACCGTATGGGGGGATAATTTTGCAATGTATGTAGATATAGAAGGAAACCTTGTAGTTTAAGTTAGGGTTAAAGAATAAGAGTGGGGAAAAAACAATGGGTTTGGGGGGGTCTTCCTTTTTTAATTTTAGTGGTGTTTGTGCTTTAAGATTTCTTTAGAACTTTTTGCTCTTTTTAAGGTTTGGTTTTAAGTCTACATTCAGCATTGTAATGCATAGTTGTTTGTAGGCCCCTTTGACCCCATCTCTCCTCTCTTTCTTTCCTCTTCATCCGATGTGTAAAAGTAGGTTTTTGATTTGGCATTTTGGCCTTTATTACATGGTGATTAAATGAATTGCGTAGATTAGTTAGATGGATCCCAAAGATTTGACTACACTTTGGGGCAAGAAGAGAAAACAGTGACTCATATTTTCCTGGGAAAGCTATTTGCTAATACAGATGGACAGACAGGTGTCATTTCTTCCCTAGAATTTATGCTCTTGTGGGTTGTTGAGCTCTGGTGTAGGACCCTTCAAATCTCTCAAAACCTACTTCCTTTTTCTGATGTGTAAAGGTGAAATTTGATGATGAATTTGCATGTTTGAATTCAGTATTTGTTTATTTATTACAAGGGTTTCCTGGATTTTTGTGCAACTTTTGAAAAAGAAAACCCCCCAGTTTTTTTCTTCTCTAATACAAAATTAAAGTTACCATTGCCTTGTGCTTGATGGGGGTAAGTAGTGTGCAGTGTTGTTTCCCCTGCTTTACATTGATGATGAAAATACTGATTCTAGTCAAAGGCAATAACCTCACTGTCCTCTCTCTCTGGGTATAGATTTGTGTGTAGGCGTAGCTAGGGCATTGAGCCTCACTGGCAAGTTTTACTTTTGGAAGGAAAGCCATCCCTTCTCTCTTTCATTAAAACTACCTTTGAAATGTGTGATCATGACTTTAACAGACCTTTGCTTTTGTTTTTTGTTTTTCCCAAACTTTTTTGGCTTCTTTTATTGGCTCACACTCTCTTATTCGAATTAAAGCAAAGTCTGTACATTGCAGATAGCTTATTGCCCTATCCTTCCTTTAAACCTCTGTCTCCCTCTATTCAGACGAATTTATTATGTGACATGAATCAACATGTTCATAGTATAGTAATCACATGCAAGCAGGAGGTTCTTTATTAACATAAATTGACCTATATCAAACTATTTTTGACTAGTACAATTCTATAAAATAGGAGATTTGATCTTCCAAAAGAGGAGTGATTCCTCCCCCAACCTCCACTTCAATCATATTACCATTATCTCCTCCTTATCAAAGGCCATTTTGGTTAACTTCTATGGACAATGAATGGGTCCTAGAAATATAAGCATTCTTCCTTCTTTTCCCACAGGTATTATTCTTTTCCTTTCCAAATCCTGAAGAGAATATGTGGACTTATCTTTGTCATAAAAGAAAAGAAAAAACTTTCTTCAGAAGTAGAAGAAATGAAACATGAAAACTTCCAGTGCCACCCTTTATTAAATCCCTTTCAATATTTATGAAAGCTCCCCTTTTCAAGTTTTTATTCTCTTGTCCACTAGAAGCTCATTTTGACATTCCAAGCTTGATGGGCAAAGAGAATCTCATTGTTCTGCAATTTTTATTCTCTCCATTGTACTGTCCACAAGGGAACAAATCTATTATTTTAAAAGAGTAATCATAATTGGGAAATCTTTTTATATTATTAATTAATTTTAAATTAAATATTCGTTTTAAAAATTTAACATATATCAGAATAAGTGTTGTCCCTATCTTTAGATTTTTTTGACAATCTTCTTTTCGGTTGATTCATACCAGGTAATAAGAATATGATTTTATACGAGATATCTGTATTAAAAGGTTCATTAATCTAGCTCAGCAACTACTAGTATAAAACAATATTGGAGTAAGCAAGACTGTGGAAGAGGATCTCTCATGGACCCCTTATCTTCTGTTTGAGCAATTTTCATTTCCACATGCTGCTCTTAATCATAAGCTTCAGAATTGGGCCCATCAGCTTTGTACGAAAACAAAGCACAGATGATCATGGTTGTTAGCCTGTATCAAATTTTGTGCAGCAAAATTGGAGAAAAAAAGGTAATAAAAAAAAAAAAAAGAGTTTGATGGTTTACTCTTGCATTTCCCAACTTTCCTAAAAGAATGACAGTTGAGACACCTTGGAGTTACAAAGTTAATGAAAACTTGTTTAGAATTTAGGGAAGGATTATTTTACAGGGAGATTTACTCTTTGTCTTTACTGTGATTGTCTTTTAATCTGATGTCCTTTCCTTGGGTTAGCACCTGAAAGTGGGGGGAGGCTGAGTTTGAGCCTTGGAGGGGAAAGGAACAGGCAAAGGATCACATAAATGTAGAGCAAGGTAAAGATTTGTTTGGACCATTGGTATGGATGGAAAATGATTCACGAGAGAATCCTAATCCAAAAGCCAGAAAAAAAAACATGTCAAGTCAGTGGTTCAGTCAATCAAAGCATGACTGCAAATTTCATTTACAGCATATTCCCTGGGTTATCAATTTAGGAGCAGTTTCCATTAATAAGGAACCTGATTCCTTCAATCCAAGTCTGTCTTCCTTCCCAAGCCTCTCAATCCTCCCCATAACCATTTCCCTAGCTTTTGCCAGTTATTTGTAGAAGCAGCTAGAAGAAAGAATAAACAGCAATGTTCTCTCCATTAGAGGCTGAAGTTGGTCACAAAAATGGGGTTTAACATAAGAATAATCAAGAGTGGTGATGCTATAATTATGATCTTAATGATGACAATCATGACCAACACAATGATGGAAGCAACCTTTGCCCTAAGTTCAATAACAAAAAGGAAATCAAATCTTACCATTGGCTTTGGAGCTACCAAACTTTTTGGTTGTGCGGGACAGACTCTATATGTGTACCTAAAAGAAGGTTTGCTTCTCTAAAAGCCCAAACAATAGAAATACAGATGTCCCGCTAAAAGGCAGCTATGCCCCCATTAGAAAAATAACCAAATTGCTTAGGCCAATTGCTTTGAGCCACATGCCCATTTCAAAATACAGTAAAAAACTTGGGTCGTTAACATTGACCCTGCTTTTGTTCCATGAAAGCTGTGCCTTTGTTTCTCTTGTCTTGTCAATATTGAAACTCCCTTAGAATGTGTTTCTCAATGAAGGTTAAGAGACAAGTATCAGATATTTTGATTCTAGGAACCTGTTTTGCATAGAATCAAACACAAGTTACACTTGAATTTGGAGTCCATCAGTCTAAACTTCCCCCCCCCAAAAAAAAAAAAATACCAGAGCTGCATGCGTGATTGCTGAGACAATGGAGGGGAAAGATTCTTTGGGTGTCTGTAGTTTAAACACCAACTCTGTTAATTATGGAGATTGGTGGTCGGATCAGTGGCAAAAACAAACCTTGGGTGTGTTCTACCATGATTTGCTTAATCATTGTATCAGTTATACCATTACCAGCTCAATGATAAGCTGTTCAGCTTCACAAAGAATTCACTAATAATCATGCATAAGTCATTGGATCTTCAGTTCCTGTGCAAGCTAAAATTAATTCATAATTCTGCAATTTACCAGATACTGGGTCGTAGAGGGAATCATTTCTGTGGGTCAAAGTATCAGAAAGAAATCAATGCTTTATGGTGAAGCCTGCCTGCCCGCAATAATGATTTGGGTGATCTATTTTTCAATAAGGGAAAGAACCCAAAACACAAGATTGCTTTCAAAACTAGCTTTATTCCAAGTAAATGCTATTTCTTCTCAAATAAAGCAAAACAGCTAATTTTTCCTGGAACGAATATTTAGTATATGCTTTTCTATCAAGTTATAAGACCAGGTATAAGTTTATTACACGTTTTAATCCTTTTCACCAAAAAAATTTATTATTATCTCCATTGGCTATGAGCTAGTAAAGAATTTGGTGCGGAAGAAATTTAACAAAATTTAAACTCTGATAACCAAGAGAAAACAAATATGTGGAGAACACATCTGTTTCAACGAAATCAACTTCAACATAATCCACCAAAACAAACTACTACATAATAGTTCAAACTAACACATTTCCCTCCCAAGTTCATAGACAGCCTATTACTGCTGTCGACTTCAACTTTCTTCTTCTGCCAGAGCCTGTCGACGGCACTGTCAGCATCACCCTGCTGAGTCAAATCAATCAGCAGCTGACTTGATAAAGAACCAAGGCAACAAACCAGAACATGTTTAATATAGAATCGAACTTCTCTATCACCTCCGTTGTTCATTAGACCAAATAAAACAACGCAAGCAAAAGTTCCTAGAATCATGGAGATAAAGAACAGCATATAAATTATCATTCTCGCATACCCACCATTTGAGTCTCCAACAATTATTTCAATAATTACAAATCTGATTTGACCTATGGATGAATATGCACACATACATAAAATGCTTGTTTGAGTAATAGCAATGAGATTCACTACATGAATCTGCCAGGATCTTGTGCCAATCTACAGGGAACCAGACATATCTATCCGGTGATATTTGTCTCTTCCAGGTCTATAAACACAAGTTTTGTCACTATCATATCCACTTTTTGCCATGAGAATGTGATTGGAAACATTCTTCAAACCAATATTTTCTCTAAATGAATTTGCCAATTAAATGGATAACAATAGACACTTATAACATATCTCAAATAT